ACGTGTAGGTGTGTGTACGTGTAGGTGCATGTGTGTGTGTACGTGTAGGTGTGTGTACGTGTAGGTGCATGTGTGTGTGTACGTGTAGGTGTATGTGTGTGTGTACGTGTAGGTGCATGTGTGTGTGTGCGTGTCCAATCACCTGTTTCTGTTTTCACCGCTCTCTAACGAAATCCGTCGCTATCTCCTCATCTCGCCGCCCGGGGGGGCGGGCGGCAGGTCAGAGGTCACGCTCGGCTGCCCTTGAGTTCCCCTCCATCCTCTACCCCCACCCCCCACCCCCGCCACTGCGTTGATCATTCACGTGGATTTCTTTACACCGTCCGTCACCACTCGCTTTGTCAGCGTCTACACAGCAAAGCGCCGCCCCCCCCCCCTCGTGAGTCATTGATTTTGTCTGCACCGGGGCCAGCGTCCGTCCCTTAGATCCACAACAACTAAACTATTATTTCTTATTTTAGCAGGTAAGGCCCCCACTGAACTATGTAGCTCTTATTACGAGAAGCGACCACGGCCATCACGGACGTGCGGTGCACCAGCCGCGATCTCCTTCCTGTCACTCGGTACTCGTGCCAACGCGCTCGGACCAGCGGCAGTGATCCTGCTGGTGACCTCGCAAGGCCGTCCGCGCGTCAGCCCCGGCAGTATTTGCAGGAACCGACGATCCGTGTTCACACTCGTCGACGGCGGCGGCGGCGGGGGGGGGGCCCCGGGGATCTGGGGTTCTTCTGAGAACTCGCGAGGTCACGGCTGTTGCCGGTGCGGCCGCCGTGCTGCGGAACGCGACGGCGTCGTGACTTTGCTAATGGGACCGTCGGAGTCGCGAGAGGTGCTCGGGCCGTGTCCGGCCTTCGGCCCCCGAGCTGCAGGCCCCCCCCAGCCCCCCGCCGCGTCCGTGCACGCTGCAAGGCCGGTCTGTGTCCTGCCTCCCAGTGCATTGTGGGGGTCTAACGGGTGAAATGCCGCCACTTTACAGTTGACGGTTGTGATGATGAACGTTCGTGACGCGGGGATGCGTCTCGCTACGGAATGCGAGAGGCGATTTGGGGGGGCCCGGGGTGGTGGTGGGGGGGGGCAGCGGTCACGCTTGTGCTGAGCGTCTCTCGGCTGGCCGGCCGTGGCCTCGTCACGGAGATGGTGAATGTAGTGGTGATGGTGGGGAGCGGTGGCGCAACGGTTAGCGCGCTTCGCTACGAACCCGGCAACCCAGTAGTGGTGGTGAATGTAGTGGTGATGGTAGTGGTGATGGTAGTGGTGATGAATGTAGTGGTGGTGGTAGTGGTGGTGAATGTAGTGGTGATGGTGGTGATGGTGGTGGTGGTGAATGTTGTGGTGGTGATAGTGGTGGTGAATGTATTGGTGGTGGTGGTGAATGTAGTGGTGATGGTAGTGGTGGTGAATGTGGTGGTGGTGGTGATGGTAGTGGTGGTGGTGGTGGTGAATGTAGTGGTGATGGTAGTGGTGGTGAATGTAGTGGTGGTGGTAGTGGTGGTGAATGTAGTGGTGATGGTGGTGATGGTAGTGGTGGTGAATGTAGTGGTGATGGTAGTGGTAGTGAATGTAGTGGTGATGGTAGTGGTGGTGAATGTTGTGGTGGTGGTGGTGGTGAATGTAGTGGGGGTCGGTAGTGGTGGTGAATGTAGTGGTGGTGAATGTAGTGGTGGTGGTAGTGGTGGTGAATGTAGTGGTGGTGAATGTAGTGGTGGTGGTAGTGGTGGTGAATGTGGTGGTGGTGGTGATGGTGGTGGTGGTGGTAAATATAGCGGTGATGGTACTGGTGATGGTAGTGGTGGTGAATGTGGTGGTGGTGGTAGTGGTGGTGAATGTAGTGGTGATGGTAGTGGTGGTAGTGGTGGTGAATGTAGTGGTGATGGTAGTGGTGGTGAATGTAGCGGTGATGGTAGTGGTGGTGAATGTTGTGGTGGTGAAGGTAGTGGTGATGGTAGTGGTGGTGGTAGTGGTGATGGTAATGGTGGTGAATGTAGCGGTGGTGGTAGTGGTGGTGAAGCTAGTGGTGGTGGTAGTGGTGAATGTAGCGGTGATGGTGGTGGTGAATGTAGTGGTGATGGTAGTGCTGATGGTAGTGGTGGTGAATGTAGCGGTGATGATAGTGGTGGTGAATGTAGTGGTAGTGGTGATAGTAATGGTGGTGAATGTAGCGGTGATGGTGGTGGTGAATGTAGCGGTGATGGTAGTGGTGATGGTAGTGGTGGTGAATGTAGTGGTGGTGGTAGTGGTGATGGTAGTGGTGGTGAATGTAGCGGTGGTGGTAGTGGTGGTGAATGTAGTGGTGGTGAATGTAGTGGTGATGGTAGTGGTGGTGATAGTGGTGATGGTAGTGGTGGTGAATGTAGTGGTGGTGGTAGTGGTGGTGGTGGTGGTGAATGTAGTGGTGATAATAGTGGTGGTGAATGTAGTAGTGGTGGTGAATGTAGTGGTGATGATAGTGGTGGTGAATGTAGTAGTGGTGGTGATGGTAGTGGTGGTGATAGTGGTGATGGTTGTGGTGGTGAATGTAGCGGTGATGGTAGTGGTGGTGATGGTAGTGGTGGTGAATGTAGCGGTGATGGTAGTGGTGGTGAATGTAGTGGTGATGGGAGTGGTGGTGATGGTAGTGGTGGTGAGTGTAGTGGTGGTGAATGTAGCGGTGATGGTAGTGGTGGTGATGGTAGTGGTGGTGATGGTAGTGGTGGTGAATGTAGCGGTGATGGTAGTGGTGGTGAGTATAGTGGTGGTGGTAGGGGTGGTGAATTGTAGTGGTGAATGTAGTGGTGGTGAATGTAGTGGTGGTGGTAGTGGTGGTGAATGTAGTGGTGATGGTAGTGGTGATGGTAGTGGTGGTGAATGTAGTGGTAGTGGTGGTGGTGGTGGTGGTAGCGGTGGTGAATGTAGTGGTGAATGTAGCGGTGATGGTAGTGGTGGTGAATGTAGTGGTGAATGTAGCGGTGATGGTAGTGGTGGTGAATGTAGTGGTGATGGTAGTGGTGGTGATGGTAGTGGTGATGGTGGTGGTGGTGAATGTTGTGGTGGTGAATGTAGTGGTGGTGGTAGTGGTGGTGAATGTAGTGGTGGTGGTAGTGGTGGTGGTGGTAGTGGTGGTGGTGAATGTAGTGGTAGTGGTGGTGGTAGTGGTGATAGTAGTGGTGGTGAATGTAGTGGTGGTGGTGGTAGTGGTGATGGTAGTGGTGGTGAATGTAGTGGTGGTGGTAGTGGTGGTGAATGTAGTGGTGGTGGTAGTGGTTATGGTAGTGGTGGTGAATGTAGTGGTGGTGGTAGTGGTGGTAAAGGTAGTGGTGGTGGTAGTGGTGAATATAGCGGTGGTGGTAGTGGTGGTGAAGGTAGTGGTGGTGGTAGTGGTGATGGTAATGGTGGTGAATGTAGCCGTGATGGTGGTGGTGAATGTAGTGGTGATGGTAGTGCTGATGGTAGTGGTGGTGAATGTAGCGGTGATGATAGTGGTGGTGAATGTAGTGGTAGTGGTGATAGTAATGGTGGTGAATGTAGCGGTGATGGTGGTGGTGAATGTAGCGGTGATGGTAGTGGTGATGGTAGTGGTGGTGAATGTAGCGGTGATGGTAGTGGTGGTGAATGTAGTGGTGGTGAATGTAGTGGTGGTGGTGATGGTAGTGGTGGTGAATGTAGCGGTGGTGGTAGTGGTGGTGAATGTAGTGGTGAATGTAGTGGTGGTGAATGTAGTGGTGATGGTAGTGGTGGTGAATGTAGTGGTGATGGTAGTGGTGGTGAATGTAGCGGTGGTGGTAGTGGTGGTAAATGTAGTGGTGGTGGTAGTGGTGGTGAATGTAGTGGTGGTGATGGTAGTGGTGGTGAATGTAGCGGTGATGGTAGTGGTGGTGAGTGTAGTGGTGGTGAATGTAGTGGTGATGGTAGTGGTGGTGAGTGTAGCGGTGGTGAATGTAGTGTTGGTGAATGTGGTGATGGTAGTGGTGGTGATAGTAGTGGTGAATGTCGTGGTGGTGAATGTAGTGGTGGTGAATGTGGTGATGGTAGTGGTGGTGAATGTAGTGGTGGTGAATGTAGTGGTGGTGAATGTAGTGGTGGTGAATGTAGTGGTGGTGAATGTAGTGGTGGTGAATGTAGTGGTGGTGAATGTAGTGGTGGTGAATGTAGTGGTGGTGAATGTGGTGATGGTAGTGGTGGTGATGGTAGTGGTGGTGAATGTAGCGGTGATGGTAGTGGTGGTGAGTGTAGTGGTGGTGAATGTAGTGGTGATGGTAGTGGTGGTGAGTGTAGCGGTGGTGAATGTAGTGTTGGTGAATGTGGTGATGGTAGTGGTGGTGATAGTAGTGGTGAATGTCGTGGTGGTGAATGTAGTGGTGGTGAATGTGGTGATGGTAGTGGTGGTGAATGTAGTGGTGGTGAATGTAGTGGTGGTGAATGTAGTGGTGGTGAATGTAGTGGTGGTGAATGTAGTGGTGGTGAATGTAGTGGTGGTGAATGTAGTGGTGGTGAATGTAGTGGTGGTGAATGTAGTGGTGGTGAATGTGGTGATGGTAGTGGTGGTGAATGTAGTGGTGGTGAATGTAGTGGTGGTGAATGTGGTGATGGTGAATGTAGTGGTGGTGAATGTGGTGATGGTGAATGTAGTGGTGGTGAATGTAGTGGTGGTGAATGTGGTGATGGTGAATGTGGTGATGGTGAATGTAGTGGTGGTGAATGTGGTGATGGTGAATGTAGTGGTGGTGAATGTAGTGGTGGTGAATGTGGTGATGGTGAATGTAGTGGTGGTAGTGGTGGTGAATGTAGTGGTGGTGAATGTGGTGATGGTGAATGTAGTGGTGGTAGTGGTGGTGAATGTAGTGGTGGTGAATGTGGTGGTGGTGAATGTAGTGGTGGTGAATGTGGTGGTGAATGTAGTGGTGGTGAATGTGGTGATGGTGAATGTAGTGATGGTGAATCTGGTGATGGTGAATGTGGTGGTGGTGTTGTTGAGGTTTGTTGCCTCTCTGACCTTTCTCTGCCTTTGACCCTTTGACCCGCAGGTCAACCAGGAGGGCAGAGCTGCTGAGGGGGGAGGTGCCACTGACCCAGGTTTGACTCCCTCCCTTGCAGTTGTGACGATGGTGGCGGTGATGGTGTCGGTTGTGACGATGGTGGTGGTGGTGGTGGTGGTTGTGATGGTGCTGACGGTTGTGACGATGGTGGTGGCGGTTGTGACGATGGTGGTGGTGGTTGTGATGGTGGTGACGGTTCTGATGATGGTGGTGTCGGTTGTGATGATGGTGGTGGTGGTAGCGGTGGTGGTGTCGGTTGTGACGATGGTGGTGATGGTTGTGACGATGGTGGTGGCGGTTGTGACGATGGTGGTGACGGTTGTGACGATGGTGGTGATGGTTGTGATGGTTGTGGTTGTGATGGTGGTGTCGGTTGTGACGATGGTGGTGGTGCTGGTTGTGATGGTGGTGGTGGTGGTTGTGATGGTGGTGACGGTTGTGACGATGGTGGTGACGGTTGTAACGATAGTGGTGACTGTTGTGACGATGGTGGTGGCGGTTGTGTTGATGGTGGTGACGGTTGTGACGATGGTGGTGGCGGTTGTGACGATGGTGGTGGCGGTAGTGACGATGGTGGTGGTGGTTGTGACGATGGTGGTGGCGGTCGTGACGATGGTGGTGGCGGTCGTGACGATGGTGGTGGCGGTCGTGACGATGGTGGTGACGGTTGTGACGATGGTGGTGGCGGTTGTGACGATGGTGGTGGCGGTCGTGACGATGGTGGTGGCGGTTGTGACGATGGTGGTGACGGTTGTGACGATGGTGGTGACGGTTGTGACGATGGTGGTGGCGGTTATGACGATGGTGGTGGCGGTCGTGACGATGGTGGTGGCAGTTGTGACGATGGTGGTGACGGTTGTGACGATGGTGGTGGCGGTTGTGACGATGGTGGTGACGGTTGTGACGATGGTGGTGGCGGTTGCAATGATGGTGGTGACAGTTGTGACGATGGTGGTGACGGTTATGACGATGGTGGTGACGGTTGTGACGATGGTGGTGACAGTTGTGACGATGGTGGTGACGGTTGTGACGATGGTGGTGGCGGTTGTGACTGTGGTGGTGGCGGTTGTGATTTGTGGTTGTCGTGACACAGATGTGGCCGGGAGGCCGTCGCGTGACCGCGCGTGCTCTCGTCCCATCGGCGGCGCCACCACCACCACCAAAGCCCCAGCAGCATCACCAACAACAACAACAACACCAACAACAACAACACCACCAGCAGCAGCAGGAGCAGCAGCAGGAGCAGCAGCAGCAGGAGGAGGAGACGCGCAGACGGACGAGGTGAGGTCCCTTCACCCGCCTCTTCCCGCTCCCCCCTCGCACCGACACGACCCCCACGATGTCGCTCCCCCCTCGCACCGACACGACCCCCACGATGTCGCTCCCCCATCGCACCGACACGACCCCCACGATGTCGCTCCCCCATCGCACCGACACGACCCCCACGATGTCGCTCCCCCATCGCACCGACACGACCCCCACGATGTCGCTCCCCCATCGCACCGACACGACCCCCCACGATGTCGCTCCCCCATCGCACCGACACGACCCCACGATGTCGCTCCCCCCATCGCACCGACACGACCCCCACGATGTCGCTCCCCCCTCGCACCGACACGACCCCCACGATGTCGCTCCCTCCTAGCGGCCGGGAGATC